GGTCCGACACCGCCCCGCTAACGTACTTCCGTCACGGATGTGAGGTCGTAAAATATGTACTGACAAATGGCCAAGAAAATAATTAGAAGAAAACGATCTGTCGTGGGGCGTTGAATCAGTGACCTTTCCATGCGCCGCGTGCTGCGCTAGCCACTATAAGCCAAGGAGCGTACATTGACTAAAGGCAAGCAATTTTTTTCTTCTTTGGTGTCCCTTTAAAGCGGCTGGAGTTAGCCGGCAACGCTGCATAGCTCTCACTGAATACGCTCGCAAACTCCATTTTGAGACCATTACGCCCTCTTCGGGAGAGTCTCTATAGAGAGAAGGCGAAACTCTCCAAACGAGAGTTAACGTTTGCGAAATAAATCAGCGCGACAGACGGAACGAAAGACGCCGTACAACAGGACGATTCCTGTCGTACTTGGGTCTTTCGTCCCGTCTTTCGTGCCGGTTTATTTCGCAATTGTCGCGCCAACTTACCCAGCCAAAAGCGCCGAGAGTCAACGTGTTTATTTAAAGAGGGCGTACCAATGTGTAAACGCGGACTCACCAAAGAGAGCGTAAGGTCTCTTTTTATCTCTTTTTTTTTTTTCGTAGAGTGTACCATCTGGTTACTGCCGTACCCGTCTGATATAGACGCGTACCTACGAGTATTCGTGCTTGAGTCGCTATCTTTAAAATGTTTACGTAATCATATAAAACGGTACTTCGTACACTATCTCGGTTCGTGGCCGAATCATTGTGACTGGTGACACGGCGATGAAGCCGCACGTTCCTTCCGGGTGTCGATACCTGCGAACAAAAAAAGGAAAAGAAAGAAGAAAAAAAAACGCTGTCAATCCGAAGTCTGCCCTTGCCGCCCTCCCCAAGGAATCGCCACTTATCATGCACGTTTCAATACGTTTGAAATTGCCGCATTCCTAACTTTGTCGTGACTACATATTGATTGTCATGAGAAGCGCTGTAATCCTCTACTTGCTTCTACGTTGCGGCCAAACAGGTTCGCCTTCGTCGTAAATGTACACGCAGGGGTAAAGCAAGCCCCGCACAGTCTTCGTGAACGTATTCTCCCACGCATTCGGCGATCCGCGACGGCGTACACCAATATGCATGCTGAGGCACGCCCCGCGCTTGACGTGGCCGAAAGTGTCGTTACCCAGGAATCACGAATAACATCGCGTGCCGATGTCGCGCGCTTTCACATTCCTTCAATCCGGCGTAGCGAGGCCGCTCGCCACCCCCCCCCCTCCTTTTTTTTTTTTGTTTGGTTCTGTGGTCTTTGCCTTTTTTTTTTGTAATCGTGATCTTGCCCACCACCGGGCAAGAATCCTTCTATATAGACTACTATTATTATAATCCTTCTATTATAATTCTTCTATTATTATAATCCTTCGACTATTATAATTCTTCTATATAGACTGCTTTTTAATTGTACCTTCTTTTTATTTCTTTTCGAAACGAACGAAATCCAAAAATAGAAACCGTGCTAAATTTCACGGTAACGTAAAACACGCCCAAATGTCGACATCATTTGTTCACAGCCATTTACACTACTTTTCCGTAGCCAATTCGAGCCCAAGTAAAGCGCACAAGTTTTAATACCGACTATGGTGGGTCGTGTGCACTTTGTCAACAAAAGTTATTATGGGCGCCGCGATTATCTTCTCTTGATTGGTTGTTATACTCTGCGGAACTGCTGACAAATGCATTGCCGAGGTTGCGTCAACTTTTGCTCTTTTGTGCAAATGTGCAGAAAAGAGGTAACTCTTCTATCCGTTGAATAGCTTATCGAATTTAAGCCGTAATATAAGTTTCAGGTAGTTTGGTGACATATGCACGCTTGAGAGAAGAAAGAAGAAGATCTCCGAGAAGCGCAGACTGTATTGTCAGTATCAAACAGCCGGGTTCTTCTCAGTCTGACTTGAAGTTGTGTTGGCTCTTCTTGAAAATAGCGCTTCATTTTGTTTGAGTGGTTGAATTCCGCCATCTTGAGCTTTCGATGCGGCTCGCCTTTTGTCTGTAACAAGCAAAAAGTGACGGCGAGAATGCTTAGAAATTTCTGCAACAATGTGGTTATCACAAAGCTAAAAAGCATGCTCTAAAATTTTAAAAAAGGCAGGTTACCTTTTACTCGTTTTCGTAAGTACTTGCTTGCTTGTTTCTTTAAAGGTGCGCGTGAACTCAGTCGCAGAGATGACCGTGATGATAATGATGATGATGATGATGATAACGACTACAATAAAGCTCTGATAACGGCTGCAACAGAAACCCGTTATATATAATTTACTATTTGTTTCGCATCTTCGCTATTGTCACCTCGTTTGGTTAAACTGTGCGAAAATATTATTAGGTGATCTAGTCACACTGCAGGAGCAAGCAGAAGCAGGCGCAGAAGCAAGCATTACGTGCTATTGTCGATGTACGCTACAATGAACATACGCGTGTCCTGTCTCTGAAGTTCAAAATTATCCGAGTTTGACCACCTATATGAGTGTCAGGTTATGTGTTCTTGTGAATGTTCATTTTCATTATCAACACTTACTCGCCGCGATCATCCTAATTCTTTGACACCTTATTTTACGAGAACAGATTCATTCAAATTTTCTTTTTTCCAACGCACCGTAACAGACTGGAATGAGTCTTTGTAGCCTTTATTCGTATTGGGTTTATTGCAAATCGTATTAGCTATATTTGTGTTGGCATCGCTTTGTTGCTGCTGATTTTTTCTTGCCCACACTCAGCTTGGATCTGTGTATACGGTCCGCAGTATTGAATAAAGAAAGAACGAAAATTTGAAGTGACCAAGGGTGCTACTCATATGAGGAACATCGCGAACTTGTTAATTAACCAATAATCTCGCTTAAACCGACTCACCGCACCACGCACAAACTATGGTATTTCCAATACTTTTCCTACTTTTTTTCCGTCAACAGTAAAGAAATGTAAATTATGCACTGAAAACATACATTATATATCTAGAAACGCATTACTTCAGCTCATATGAATGTTAACCTTGTTTCTGTACGTTTCTCTTGCAGATTTTTAATAGTTTGCTCTGTGTATTTCTATTTTAATATTGAAACAAGTGGAAGTTCATATCATGTTGCAGCTGTTATTGTACGGGGATGTGGGTTATGCTACCATCCTTGCTGTTTGTGGATGTTTCGTACCTGTGTGATTACAAACTTCATCAGTAAGTGGAAGCAGGCTGCGGTCGCTGCTGATCATGGTGGCAGCTATGTACCGAAGATGACGATCATAATAATTACGATGATAATGACGGCAACGACTGCAAATTAACTGTTAAGCGTGGGAAGGCATGCTGCTGACGACGGTGGTAGTTCAATAGCGGGGACGGCCATTAAGACGACAGGCGACAACAGCAGGCTTTTATTGATACGTTGACGTCACAGTTGTTATTAGAATGCACGTGAGTGTGGATCACTGAGTTAGCATTCAAACATGAATGTTTTTAAGTAAGCCAAGACCAGGAGGTTACCATGGACAACTGTTGGAACAGGAACAGAGGTTGGAGGGGGTCGCATACTGACACATGTGCTACGTATGGTAGAAGGACACATTTTGAGTGAGGAGCAGCCTCCTTAGGGCACTCGCATTGGGCTCAAATTGGGGCTAATAGTCCAGCAGCTAAAGCCCAACAGGGTATGCCCTACGACTATATGGCTAGGAAATATTTGCCAAATAGTTAGGTTCGTCAGAGTGTCTAGCATTTGTTATACCTTCTACAACAGTTTATCCGAATCGTTTAGGTAGAAATTGGTCTATTTACTTTCGCATGCAGCTTCTAAGTTTGTGTTGTTTTTCTTGACCGGAGACGACTCGAGTTCCAGGCGTCGCAGCTCGGGGCCGCAAAGCGGATGTGAAGCTTATTCTCGCGCATTGAGGCGGCACATATAGATTTCTGTGGTCGGTAAACGTACGTGATATTCTCAGATAAGCCACGAGTTTGTCAAGGAACTGCATAGAAATATGGCTGATAAGTTTCTTAGCTATATAGGCGACGAGTGTGTTCGCAAATACCACGCATGTACTACGGCTGATACGTCCGTGATGTGGACTGCAATCCCAGTGAGAGAGGCCTAAAATGATGACTGCGCATTGGTGCCTGCTGACGGCTGTGGGTCAGCGCCGCTTCCTTCCGTCTCCAAGGCGCTTACGAAGGGACGGAAGATTGCGACACGTCTAGAATACGAGCCGGAGGGTGTGCCGACCTTGCCACACCGGCGGCGCGTTCTTCCACCTGTGGCAGCGTCGTTCCTTTGGTGGCGCCCGGTCCTCCTTGGGCAGAAAAAAAAAAGGGAAGGTGTACCCCCCTTCTTGGATCGATGGTCACCGAAATATCGTTGCCCCTTTCCTCTTCGCGCGCACATCCCGACGCTTCCCGCGGCGCTGGCGCGCGCGCGGATCGAAGAGCTCCGACGGCGGGGCCCTCCATCGCCGCACGCAGGTGAGAGCGCTCACACACCGCACACACTCGTTGCCGGGCGCCGCCGCGCCCAGGTGTGTGGTGGTACGGTGCGCGCACCCTGGCTGTTGGTGTGGCTGGCAACCGGCGCACCAGCCAGTGCCGCGCGTCACACACAGGCATCTATCGTCCTCCTTCGTGCTTGATCTGTGCGCCCGAACCGGAGCTCGTTCTTGCAAACAGTCCGCGTGAAATCTGATCGGTGTGAGCGGTCGCTGGTGTGGTTTCGCTTCTGTTCGCCCGGAGGCGTTTCCGACGTCCTCGCGCGAAAGATGGCGGGTGCCCTTTCGTTCGTGGGCCGATACGGCGGCGGCGGCGCGCCTACCTGTTGATTCGGTCGTCCCACCCACAACAAAAACAACTCGTCGCCTCCCGCCCGCCCACTGTGAACCATGAGCGGCGGGGGTCGACGGGCGACCAAAAGCGGGGGCTCCTCGGCGGTCGAGCCGCGCGGCGCGGGCGGCCGACGCGCCAGCCTGCCGTATCGCAACGTGGTGGACTTGGCCAAGGCGCTGTGCAAGACGTGTCGCCAGAGGAGGGCCAGCTACGCTGCCGGTGTGGTCATCGCGCTGCCCGGCATCATCCAGGTAGGGAGGACGCTCCGCTCTTTCTCTCGTGAATGGACTCGCCACTTGTCCTTTACCTTCGTTTTTCCTTCGCGAATGCTTGCGCGCGCGCTTCGGATCACTCGTGGTGGATTTCAACGTGCCGCGTTTTCTTCGGAGTGGTTTGCTGCATGCGGGTTGCGGGGAATACTTGTTCTGCTTTTCCGGTGGGTTCAAGGCTAAAGTACTGTAGTTAGTTGAGCCAAGTCTGCAAATTTACACACAGAGGGTGTTTTTTTTTTTTTTGTTTCCTCTATTGTCGTATTCCGTTCTCCCTCTGTGTAACGAGGCTCTAATATTTGGCGCCCTTCATACTCGAGGAGCTGCATGCGCAAAACTTAAGTAACCACATACGCTTCTGAGTTTATCGAACGAAATCGGGGCTAAAAATAGTAGACAATTTGCCGATATTGTGACTCTATGCGACTTGTGACTCCACGAGCAGTGAATAAAGGGAAACATAAAAGCCAATGAAACGAGCATTAGAACTTATATATAAAGGACACTCCAGTGCGTCCATCCTCAACTGTAATACCGTCTTAAGCTACACCCACTCCTCAAGTTACCTGTTGGACACCCTAAGAACTGTGACTCTTTTTTTACTCGTGAGAGAATTTCACGTGCAGCGCTCTTTCTGAAGAGTCACATTCACTCTCTTTAGGATAGTCGTGGGACGCACGTCTTTTCAAGAGAAAGTGATTGCACGACTCTGCTAAAGGTAGCCAACGTGCCTCTCTAAAGAGAGCGCTATGCATTCACTCTACACTCTAAGAAAAAAAATGGAGTATTTGGGAGTAGTTCCGCTACACAATATTCAGCGTTCTTTGACTTGCTCGCATTTCCTTCCTTGAAAACCCAGCGCTGGCCACTTTCCTGCCGGGAGTGCTTTGTAATAATGATAACAGGCGCACCGTTCGCAATCGCGAACTACCAGAACCATGATGATAGCGCGAGGGAAGTACTCGAAGTAGATGGCGATTGTTTTTGTGTAGCATATTCGATTTTAGGGTGTAAAAATCCAGTAAAAAGGGTGTATCTTTGTCCAACAACAACAATCATCATCATCTTTCTTGTGTTCACTTCCTTCCATGATCGTCGCGCGCCCGACACTTTCAGGTCACGTACGGCGAGTGCGTTATCAGCGTGACATAGCATTCTTGACAGGAAAGTGGCCAGTACGGGTTTTCAAGAAAGGAAATGTGAGCAAGTCAGATAACGTTTACTATTGTGTAGTAGAACTACTCCCCAAATACTCTATTTTTTCTTGGAGTGGTGTATAAAAAGAGTCAGAAGCACATTTTTTTTTCTTTCTCAGAGCACATCAGTGGCCGACGTGCACATTGTTTTCACTTTCGATCGCTGTCTACGTCTTGAAAAGCGCGAGTGCAGGCATGGCGTGTTTCCACAGACTTACGCTTCGATTTAATCCTTTTCGGGCGAAGCCCGTTACGGCTCACGGATTTTGGGGTCGGTCGCGTCGCACGCGAGAAAAAAACCCGGTGCCGGCGAGTGTACTAAAAGGCGGACCTTGAAGGTGCGCCAATATAGGGTGCTCATTGGTACGTGACCACTTTCGTACCGCAGCGGGAACCACTTTCGTAACGTACAGAAAGGGTTGCGACACCTCCTACGCGTATAATAACGGCACACCGCTATATACTGTATAAGTGTTTAGAAATAACGGCGCAGGAAACGGCGATTCCGGTGAACGTATACTGTGCGTGGCGTTATTGTATCGAGGCATGCCGTCACGTTGCACCGTACTTACGCGGTCGTTATGTAATGTAGTATACAGAAGCCGTGCAGAAATAAAGCTGCGTTCAGCCTCGATGGGAAAGCTGTCGCGTTTAGCGGTTTCACTTGGACGGTGCTCGGGCGCGTGTGACACGCGTCGGGCTTTGCCTGTTTGCTGCTCTTGCTCTCCTGTCAGATCGGTGTGTCGTAACGGGCGCCGTTGCGACACCGTAGGGTCAAAGTGAATGAACCGAGCGCCTTGTACGACGTTTCAAGCTAGCTCTGTCAGTTTCTTTTTACATTTCCAAAGACAATAGTCTTACTTGGGATATGCAGATTTTTCATTATATCTGTCCCTCTCTGTGCCTACATGTCACACAATACAATTCAGCCACCCGGCCAAAGTAACTTGCTCAACGGCCGGCCATCTTGAACTGGTTACTGCGTTCAATCGAATAGCAAATAATAGGCATATCTGAGGCGCAACGTAAATACGTAGCTATTATGGTTGGCGTGTTCTTTTAATAGAAAATGCGTAGGTACACGCAATTCTCAAGACCCTATAGTGTTCCTTACACTTCAGTGAATATGCAAGATTAAATGCAAGAGAGAAGGCTGCTAGGCGACTATCGTCTTTTCGACGACGTTTGCCTTGAAGCGCCCAGATACGCAGCCAATGTTTCTGGAGCTCATAAGGTCTGACCACACGTATCCGGTGCAGCGCGTCAGCGCGGGATCTTCTGACGCGGCGCCGTGCCAGTTGTCGCGCAGCCACGCGCCCTCTATCAGGAGAGCGTGCGGCGCCGCGTGAGAAAACGCTGCCCTGCAACGGGAACATGTGGTCAGGCCTTTAGGCGCCCGTTCCCGCGTTGAACGGCGCCGCCGTTCTTGGCTGGCGTCGGCGTAACCGATAGCGCGAGAGAGGACAAAAGAGAGGGAACGCGACGTTCGTGGGTATAAGCCGAGCCGCTGGCCTTTATAACTTCGCTTTCATCCGCCGCCACGTTTGCTGGCCCCTCGGCTGGAGCTTGTGCACATGCTGGGATGACACGTGCAGTGCGGCTGGCTTCGCTAGTTGGAACGGGGCTGTCGGCGTTTCGCTTTGTTCGCGACGCCTGCAATGCCCACAGTGCGTAGCATTCGAGCGCTGGTATTCTGCGGAAATATGTAACGAATATGTTACCTATAGCTACAACTGCTGATAGCCAAAACAGGAAACGTTGAGTCGCAATTACGTGTACGATGAGTGCGGGTTTTGCTAAAAAACCCGTAATGATTTTGTGTACCTTGTGTGCATGGAAGTATCTGATATTAATATGACAGCTGATAGCAATATCTATCGACTCCAGCTTTTGTAGCGTCGTCTGTTGCAACTATCATTTTGAGTTCTTTACTTTCAGTGAAAAGTCGCCAAACAGGAACATTATTTGTGTTCTGACATTTCTGTCTTACCCCTCAAGCGCCAGCGGCGGCAGTGTAGTGGTTCCGGTGCTCAGGTGTCGAACCAAAGGTCGTAGGTTCGAACCCGGCCGCCATGGTCGCATTTTGACGGAGGCGAAGTTCTAGAGGCACCTGTACTGCACTGCGATGTCAGTGCGCGTTAAAGAATATCAGACGATATAAATCTCCGGACCCTTAACTACGGCGGCGTCTCTCGTAACCATTTCGTAGTTGTGGGACGTGAGACGCCGACTATCATTATATATTATTGCATTTACACGGAAGGTTGTTAGCCACGAAGTGACCAGACAGCCCTTTAAGAAGTCACTTAGAAGTGTGGCAGTTTGGACTAGTTGGTTTGACATGACGATAGTTGTAGCGCGAGAACAGAACGACGACAAAGAGACAAGAAGGAGACGAGCGCTCGTGTCCTTCTTGTCTCTTTGTCGTCGTTCTGTTCTCGCGCTGTAACTATCGCCATTGTAAAAAATCGTAGGGGTCTCAGGCGTGAATGCGGGCGGCGCTATTAGTCGTTAAAACGAGAAGTGAAGAACAAGCGTTTGCAACGATTCGCTGTGGACATCACGGTAAAAGTTTAGCGACAATTTACATAATTCCGGTAGCGGGTGTTGTGTCAAGTTCCAGCGAGTACAAACGGAAGCTGGTAAAACCCAGGCAATGCGCGTCAGTGCTTGTTGAGCGTGCATACTTGTCTTCACGCTTGACGATTGATCACAGACTGCTTTGTGTTAGTCATCTTTTGAGATTGGTTGCTTAAACCATATTTTCTAGCTTCAAGTGACGCTAGAACTAGTCGCGCTGAAATGCCGACACGTCGCGCATTTCTCATGAATGGCTGAACGCAAGAACAAACTCGACGCGTCGGCAGAATTTCAATGAACTTGACGCTGATCGGACTTCCGCATGAGTCCTCATAATTCAGAGCGCAAGCGTTCGCATGTTGGTATCAGTGGCGTAGCCAAAGGAAGGGAAGGAGTTCAGTTCCTCCCTCTTCTCACTGAAAGTTTTCAGTTTTGCTTGCGCGTATGTATGCGACGCACAAATACAAACGCACGCACGAACATACATAAAGTATAGCTGAATCCCTCTTCCACCCCCTACCTTTTCAAAAAAAATTGTGGCTATGGCCCTGGTTTTTATCGCATACTTCACGCGAGGACGTCCAAAAAAAAGGTTGCGCCGTGTAAGCGCGGATCACTCTACAGTGGCCCGAGCTGTCATATGCTGTCGTCGTCTCAGCTTTGCGTAACGTTTGCGAAACCACTAATAGCACGGACACCTGTAAAATATATTCAGCATTGAGTGCACGCTCGCACCAAGAAGTGTTTTTTTTTTCGTTTTGCTGCAAAACAACTTATAAATATTGCGGAAGAGGAAACAAGCGAGAAAAGAAACGAGAGAGAAAGAAAGAATAAAAATAAAAATAAATATAGAAATAGAGAAAAGCCAGAAAGGACTGAGAAAAAAAAGGAAAACCGAAAGGAAACAGAGAAGGCTGTCCAGCTCGGCGCTTCTCTCAGGCTCGACACTCTAGTGCGGAGCCGCGCTAACATTATGTTTTTCCTTTCCTTTGCCACACGCTTTGTTTTGTTTGTTTCGCTCTTCTCTACGATGCAACTCGCTAGCCGCTTCCCTTATTTCATTCAATCTGGCCACGATGCACCTGATGGCTCAGCTGGCTGATGTTACCGGTATACAATATGCGTTGTATGCTATGACACCACCATCTGGGCCACGCAGGGTGCACTCGGAGATATTGAGGCGAACCTCAGGAAGCCGCAAGCATA